ACCTTCTCTCATAGGAGGAGATGGCATCTGAGTAATGGGATGCATATAAATGAGGAATTTTAAAGAGTGGAAGAAATGTTTTAGCTTCTGAATCAAGAACAATGTTTAAAGCAGGACCAATGAGGCTGAGAGGCAGAATGCCAACACAGGTTTGTTTTCACAGTCCAGTGCCACTGTGATTACCAGAACTTAATTAAAGTTCACATCAGGGTTGGAATTGTGTCAGAGCTCTCGCAAAGTGGACCAGGGCTTGAAAATAAATGCAAATGTAAAATCAAATGAAGTTTGCTTATATGTTGCGTATCAATTAAGTAAAACATACCATTCAAAAGTTTATGGTCAGATTGTTTTTAAAGGAATGATTATTTATATAGAGTGCCGAAGTGATGACGTCACTTTGTAGGACGACTCGGAAGCTATAGCGGCGCATGGGTTCCCTCGGTCGAAAAGCAATGCATTTTCCCCATAGACTTTTGGAAAATCGCAAAAAATAAGATCTGTGTTTAACAAAGAGTTGTGACCCTTACACTTTTTTTTTCTATCAAGATAATCTTTACAAGTTAATCCAAAATGTATACATTTTGAAGCCTATATAAAGATTTTAAAAAATACAATCAGACACAATAAAGTTTAAAAAACTACAAGCAGGTTATAACTGTGTGTTCTATGTCATAGATCAAAACGTGAAAATATTTAGAGGTTTTGTTCACCACAGACCTTATTTCAGGCGATTTAGCAAAACCCATTCAAAAATCCCATAGGCTTTAGGGCGAGGGAACCGGTAGTGCTAAAATGCACTACCGAAAATTGTTTCATGTTTTATTGTGTTTATGTTTATTGTATGTAGAAATATATTTGTTTATAATTTGTATTATTTTCCTTGTATAATTTTTGGCTGATGTATTTTGAATATTATTTTCATTTTCAGTTTAGTTATGTATTAAGTATGTGAACATTATTTAAATTCCCTACTACTGTAAAATGGTTGACCCTTTCAGTATAATGTCAGTATATGTCTGTGAAAGCAGTTGAGGGACATCCGTGAGGAGCGTCACCTTGAGTGTTATTTATGTTATTTTTTATTCTTTATTTGGAAGTCAATAAAGATTTCACTGACTGCAAGCAGTGTCTCCTGCCTTTGCTCTGGTCATGTCTTCACATTATATATTCACAATAGTGCTATTTTTGTTCCAAATAAAAGACAACCTTCTTTCAAGCACATGAGCAATCTTTAAGACCTCAAACCTTTGAATGGTAGTGTACAGCTTAAACACAATCTTTCTCAACTTATATTAAATATTAAAATCATCACCATGTTGACATGAGGTAGGAATAAAGGGTTCACTGGACTGAAAATTATTTTGTTTTATTGAGTATGAACATAAGAGAATGTCAACTACTATCCGTTTTATAACATGTATTTTACTTCTATAAGATGAGTCAATTCTGAGGGAAGGAGCTGCTGTTTGCATCATTACACATATTTTGTGTAAATTCCATTTGCATTTAAATTTTTAGTTGAAGAATAGCATGGAAATATGTGATATTTTACACCATCTTCCATCTTTGATGAAAAGGTATTTGGTTGATTTAACAAACGAAATGAACGAATTGACTCGGAAAAAGATTCGTTCATTCTGATAAACGAGTTCAAACAGGAGAGTCACGAACGCACATCACAGAACAGAGCAAGGTGACCATTTGAGCTTATAAAACTTCAACTTTGTTTTTTTATTTATTTTTTTTTTTTTAAACGAGCAATCATTTCGCTAGATAAGACCCTTATTCGTCGTCTGGAATCGTTTAAAGCCCTTTGAACGTCTTTTGGACGTTTAACCGTTTGATGCCCAGTAAAGTGCATTATATGGAGAAAAATCCTGGAATGTTTTCATCAAAAACCTTAATTTCTTTTCGACTGAAGAAAGAAAGATAGCAATATTGGTTAGTCATCCTATGTGGGCTTAATGGTATAAATCATGTTTGTCCTCCCTTTATGATATCACCAGATCCTTAGAGTTTAACCAGCCTAAAAGCCCGAAACAAGGTGTGTGTGCGTGTGTGTGTGTGTTAAAGTTCACATGATTCAGTAACTGCTTTTTAAACACTTCATAAGGGTGTTTGAAGTGGAATATGTTTGAAATGTCAGAAAGGTCAGTATGTGGGATTGAGTGATCCACTGCTGTAGTCTCTGTTGCTCCGATCTATGTGCCAAATATGGTCATGATGATGTTTTTGTGGGTAGGCTTTTTCTCATTTAGATTTACAATTAGTCAGTTTTGAGTTATGTATATTTATGCATTTGGAATACACTTGGTCAAGTTCTTTTTTCTGATGACATTTTTTTTTTGTCAAAAAAGGCAAACTACAGCTCAAGTTTTACTTCCTAGGTGAAAAAAATGCAAAGAAAAACAAAAGTAATATTTTTTTTGTTGGTACTCTCCTGTTTCTTTAATATATATATATAGTGTACATGGATGGATCATGTTGAACTGTATTTTAATCAAAGACTTAGTCATTTTGGCCATTAAAACACAAAAAAATGACTTTGTGCTCTTTTAAAGCTAATGACATCAGTGAAACGAATAATCAATTGAAAAGATTACATTTTTAGGATGTCTAAAAAAGTTGCATATTTGAAGATATCACAGAGCAAATAATCAATCCAAACACCCTTTTACATTTAGAAATATAGCTCTTTAATGTTCTGTTTTCTCTGGCCTTTGTCATGCTTGTTTTGGCAGTCGTCTCGCCGGTCTCTGTGAGTCAGCATGAACGAGTCTCACAGAGATCAGCCAGAGCTGCTCTCAAAAAGACCTCCATCTGAACCCTTTTTATTCAGGAAGTGCATCGCTTCATAAGGGCGATGAAACCAGAGCCATGTCATGACCTCCAGAGCTCTGCTGACCTCTGTCCGAAGGTTATGAGAGTCTATCATATCTCTTTGGTCCGTTTATTAAAAGCAGTATAGGTCAATGACTTCACACACAATTCACTTTTCTCATAACAGAGCAATTTTTAACATATAACCAATGTTTTCTCATGACCAATTGGTACGAATTTGTAATATTCTCATCTGATAAAGCCATTTATCTTACAAACTCAACAAGGACAATAATGTATAATAATTATCGACCAATATTAAAGGAGTAGTTCACTTTAAAAAAAACTTTTGCTGATAGTTTACTCACCCCCATGTCATCCAAGATGTCCATGTCTAAATGTGTTCATGTGCATTCAGTTCACCTCTGTGGGCATGTAGCACATATACTGATGCATTATAGTCAATGTCCATCTGTATACAGTAGCTGACCTGTGACATGCGTCGGTCAAAAATGACAGATTTTTTTTTTCATACATTTTTTTATTTCAATGAAATGATTGTACCATATTTTAGTTTGATAATGTATTTTATTTAATAGCTTGTATTATAGGGGATTTTATGACACAAAAATTATACAGTATTTATGCTGTATAATCCAATTATTCATTTTTTGAATGTAAGCCTGAAAATAAAATTTCAACTTAAAACTTAAACTGTTATAAATCTTAAATGCTTCGGAGCACAGACTCTTTGTGATTATTACTGAAGTAAAAAAAGTTACAAAAAAAGTGAACTTGAACTAAATTTTTATTTTATATTTATTGTTTGTGTGTGTATGTGTTTAGCAGATGCCAAAACCATTTTTCAATCTGTCACTGAAACTCAATGAATGAATGAGGCATTGTAATTCATTGTGATTCTTTTATTACTTGCTACTACAATACTTATAGAGAAGAATATGGAATTTTGTAACTCCACCATGCTGTCAAATTAGATCCTCAGAAAGTCTCTTTAACTCACTGTCCATCTCTTTATCCAGCAGTTTTGAGCAGGTTTTTGAAATGAAATCTGTTTCGGCCAGTACACTATTGTCCTTAAATTTGGTTTGTAAGATAAATTACTTTATAATATGAGAATATAAGTCTTATATTACTTGCTACATATATAGAATATGTTGCATGTATATAAATAGTGGAACAGCATTTCCTGGGTCAGCCTGACTCCGAATCATGAACCATCAGACCAGTCATTATTGGACTTTAACTGTGACCGGGATCACCATGACTTGTTCCAGTAGGGCTTATTATTAAAGCTCTTCATATGCGGAAATTGTTTAAAATAGGATTGTACATAGTTAATATGTAAATCTTGATTAAATGCACGATATTGTTAGCAACCTGTAAAACCGGCATTTCTGCATTCACTGTAAATAAACAGGATATTATATGCAGGCCTGTTTTTCTTTCTGCTGAACAGAAGGTGAAGCTGGACAACTGTGATAACTTATCACAGAAACAGGGTAATGCTGATTGTACACTTTTCAGTAAATGAAGCCCTGCTTAGTTTGTGTTTGGCCAATTCACCACATAAGAAAACTTGAATGTAGCCTACAAGTATGGCTCATTTCAATAATGATTATTAGCCTACATGCCATTGCTGATGTATTGTAAATGCATCAACAGGATTGAAATGCAACACTCAATTTTATGCAGTGTGTAACAGCTTCTGTCTATCAATGAAGACAGAAGACTTGAAGTTTGAAGACCCTTTAGGGTCTGTTGCATAAACTGATAAGAGTGAAGCAATCAGTCAGAATGTTCCTGTTTTTTCCACCAGATGTCACTAAACATACATTACTTGTGCAAAAAATCACTTTTGACATTTAATGTAGGGTATTTTAGAACTAGACACATTTATAAACGTGCCTGATTATCACATGCGAAAGTTCTGAGATTAAAAAAACAGGCTAGATTAGACATGTTTTCTTTAAAATCATAAATAAAGCGAATTTACATTTACTTTTTAAGTCTAAAATGCAGCTGGGACACTCATTTTGGTTTCGTTGCTGTAAAAAAAAGTTACAAAACGAGTTTTGCGTTCACACTTCAGAGGGGTTCCAGTCGTTGCGTCACATCCAGGGGCCCCTCTGGGCACTCAGCTAGATGCTGTGGAGCGTGACGTCATGCCCGAAAGTTTGATACAATGCCCTCCATGTTTAGGGGAAGTTGAGTTCTACTGACAACAGCAACATGTGACGTACAGAAGACATGCAGATGTTCAATGGAATCTATGCGTAGTTGACGGGACCGCGTGGGAAGCGACGGCTCGATGAAACACAGTTGGACCTGTAAAGTTTTTTAGGTGAATGGTTCGTGTAACACCCACCTATAAAGCGGTCTGTTCTCGGTTAGACAAGCGGGCTGCTTCGGTTGAAACTAGTATCAGAATTAGTTTTCACGGAGTTGTATTTGGACTGCAAATATGTTGTTTTTCTCTAAAACGAGGAACCCGCTGGACCGACGCTTTTAGGATTGTTCTTCAGCCCTTTGCAGACCTCTGTCGCCGGGCGAGAGTCGGGCATCGTCCTTTAGAGGAGTATCAGAATGATAAAGCCCAAAGTGGGTCGGATGTTTCTGGCGACATGCGTCGGGTCGTTTTTCATTCTCATATTATACTTCCAGAACACCTCGAGATCAGGTGAGTAATACTGAAGTAGCGAAATCTAATTCATACAGGCTTTGTTCATTTGAGTCGGATCTTTTAAATGAGCCGGTTCACAAAACCGGTCTGAACAATTTGTTCGCAAATCAGACCGCGCGTTTCCCCATCTATGGTTTCTCCGAATCATTGACCCAAGAACCAGTCTCATTCTGACATTTCCGATCCGTATGATAAGGTGTCAATGGTTTGACTCATTGAATCGTGTGTCAGTTTCATCAACACTTGATTTGTTTTCGAAATGTTATATAGCCTAAGGTAGCTAATTTAGGTTCTTATTAAATTAGCCTACTTTGTTTTTTTTAAGCGCTGAATCTTGGATGCAGTCAACAAATGAACTGGACACCTTAATTACAATATAGAGAAAATCTTAAACTAACATAGGTATATTCAGTATATGATGTTTAAAAAATAGTAATAACTATGCTATGCAACAACCAATTTCATTAACAGTTGAACAATGTCATTGGGCCATCATAGCCACCAAATATTTATGAATTGCCATGAGAGTGTGTTGGCTATATCCATGTTTGTAAATGTCTACTTAAATTTAGTTTGAGATTCAAATGCTACAATATAGTAACATTTTTTTTATTGAATGGTGTACAGCTAATTCTGTCAATCAATCCAAAAAAGGGAAGTTAGACAATTTGTTTCACCAGCCAGATGTAGATTACAAATCAGACTTCTTGTAACGGGTCATGACCACATCCTAAATTCATTCGTTCAGTGATGACATGCAGTTTTTTAACATAAACTGTGCACTCTAAAAAAATGCTGGGTTGTTTGAACCCAATTTTGGGTAAAATATAGACAAACCCAGCCGTTGGGTTAAAAATGTAATTTAAAAATGTAACCCAATGGCTGGGTTTGTCCATATTTAACCCAAAATTGGGTTCAAACAACCCAGCATTTTTTAGAGTGTGGGCGATAATGATTCAAGTTCATTTTGACCCATAGCTCCTCCCAGGTGTGGACTGGACATCCTAAATATCTGGGGTCCGTGCCAGCAAGGAAGGTTGTTATTTTGCTTTGGTCTGATCAAGATTATTAAGTGTTTACATAACTACATAAGGGGTGTGATCTAAGTTGGTTGTCGTATGATTGCTAGTTTGAACCCTAAAAGGGCCAAGGATCCATGAAAAAATCAAAGTTAAAGGTAGTAGTGTTGTAGTGTACCGGGTTGCTCTGCATCAGGAAGTAGACAGCCATACCTCAGCTTTCACGCTTTCTCACTTAAGAGTTTTCATTTACCATCCAAACCACATCGTCATTTGTGACTTCAGGCAGGTTGCGGAGAGATTCGGTCCAGCGGTATCTATCGGGGTCCAGCGGTATCTATTGGACTCCAGCATTGTAAAAAGCCACCCGGAAGAGCCGACCCGTATCCCTACTAAGATGTACTTCCATGCTTCAATTTTGCGCTTGTATCTTCTAAATGCAAATGTTGTCATTGTTTTGGAGCACATTACCTTATAGATAATAGTGAGGCTAACCGATTCCTAAAAGCCAAAAAAAACTTCAATTTTGATTTCATGGGGACTTTAAAGGGTTAGTTCACCCAAAAATGAAAAATAAGTCATTAATTACTCACCCCCATGCTGTTCCAACCCCGTAAGACCTTCGTTCATCTTCGGAACACAAATAAAGATATTTTTGATTGAATCTGAGAGCTGAATCACTCTTCCATAGGCTTCCTAAGGGACTGGCTCTTGACGGCCCATAAAGTCATTAAAGAAAAGGTGGAATGGAATAGTGGAATAGTGGAATAAAGTCGTTATTTATGTTTTTTTCGCATAAAAAGTAGTCTCGTCGCTTGATAAACTTATAATTGAGCCGCTGTAGGCACATGGAATATTTAAACCTTTTCTTTAATGACTTTATGGGCCGTCAAGAGCCAGTCCCTTAGGCAGTCTATGGAAGAGTGATCCAGCCCTCAGATTCAATCAAAAATATCTTTATTTGTGTTCCGAAGATGAACGAAGGTCTTACGGGGTTGGAACAGCATGGGGGTGAGTAATTAATGACTTAATTTTCATTTTTGGGTGAACTAACCCTTTAAGCCTTTTTGTTTTAGTGTCCCAACTGCTTAGTAGTCTGCGAACTACTCTTCAAATCACTGTTAAAAGACTTTTTTTAGGAAACAGGGAGATCTTAAGCAATGACTGTCTTATTAAATCATCGATTTAGTGCAAATTTGTCATCACTTCCATTTGACAAGGTTGATAAAGTTTAGATGACATAGACATGCATGCCACATAATTGCAGTTCCTCTGACATACTAAAAAGGACATCAGTGCACACGTGTAGACTTCAGGCTGTTTAGAACAGCAAGCGAACAAAAAGGACTGTTCAAACCCGCTGGAAACAAAGCAGACGGAGAGAAAAAGTACCCGTGGAATGTTTGGAAGACCCCCACTGGGAGACTCTGGGGCATTCCAAAACATTTTAAACCTTTCCCCTGATGCCTCCGAGAGAAACGGATCACCTTGAAGATGAGATTAGAGATGAGGGGGGGAATTAAAGGTCAGTGGCTTTGACTTTGTCCCACAGTTTTGGGATTGGCTTCAAATGACCATATCAGATTTTTCACCCACTCATTACTTGCATTCAGAGGGTATGGAGGTAAACCTGTGCTGTGTGACAGTAATTTATGAGTATGAAGTCCATCTGGACAAAATCACAAACAGCATGAAATGGTGAAGTATGTCACTACAAAATATGGATGAGAGACTTTGAACATAACCTGGTATTAATAATAGCTAGCTAATCTTTTTTCTATTTATTTTGCAAACAAAACCTCTCCCTTTGCCCAGGGGACATAGACTAGAGCCAAGTTCAGATTGTTTGGTAAAAATGTTATTATACAGCCAAGATTGCAAGGCTGGCATCAATTTGGTGTTGCCCTTTTTAAAAAAATTAAATGATAATCCACTTCCCCTGACTAGATTCGGCTCCATTGAAGCGCTCTTGTTTAGGCTTGTTAGTTTGCAGTTAAATAGCTTCTCAAGAATAGTTGAGGATTTGACCCTTAAGAATTCTCCTGCCAGAGGCAAATAGCTTGACTATGGCAAAAGAACATGTGATCCTTCATTTGTCTCTCCTTAACAGGTGTTTGTAGGTGTTCACACCTGCATTATTGAAGACACTTATCTCAATGGCTTTCATTCAGTAATAAGTGCATACAAATTAGGTGCTCGTAGAAACAAATTTCCACCGGATGTTTGTTCTTATTCTCAATCAAATGTAGATTAATCAGGCTGTTCTAAGGAAACGTTTAGATGGACTTAGACATGATTAAGCTTAACTCTTATCTCTAACTGTATGCAGTATTTTTAAAGTATAAGTTACTATATACTGTATTTGTTGTATTACATTATTATTCATGATTTTGAAATATTTGATCAGTGAATGAGACCCAATGAGTGTATAATGCAAATGAATGTTAATTCTGTGCATTATTTGCTTAAAGCTTTTCTTGTTTGGCTCAGGGATAGATATTCGCTGAGTGACATCTCTTCAATGTTCACAGGAAATTAGGCTATACACTCTTAGAAAAAAGTGTTCATTGGGGTTCTATATTTGAATCATAGTGTTCTTTACTCAATCATATATTACATTATTCTGCAACATTTTGTTGTTGAAAATAAATTGTTGTTTATTAAACTGTTGTAGTAATATCACATTTTAATCATGCTGATTTTTTTGAGGAGAAAAACTGAAATGGCACTCTTCATGTGATATTGATTAACTACATAAAATTTTATCAATATACATTTTCTAACCCCCATATATTGAATTTTGTGATTCATTCACATGCATTCGTGTAACTTGATGTTTGTCAATAATATGAAGCATTTAATCCGGAAAGGACAAAACAAATGATAATGAATGAACCCAAAAGGTTCCATATAGAACCTTTTTCCTGGTTACAAAGAACCCTGAAGGAGTTTTATTATTGAACCCTTAAAAAGGGTTCTGTGTAGAACCTTTTAGGGGTTCCAAATACGTACCTTCTAAGGTTCCATATAGAAGCTTTTCTTCTAAGAGTGTACTATATACCACTGTGTCCTCTAAGCCTCTGTCCTCCAAGTGGTTCCAGTAAAAAGAGCTGATACAAGTGATCTTAAAAGTAGTGCCCTGTCGGTGTCTTGGCCTAAAACTCGCAGCAACAATCAGTAATTACCTTAAAATGGATATTCTGTTTATGTATGTTTCCTCACAAAACCGCTTGGTAACTGTCCTCGTGTGTTGGCCAATTTGTTCTCTGATCAAGTTCGCAATGGGAAAGTTGTTTAATTATCGAATATTGAATTTCCCCTCATTCTTCTGCTGATCTGCTTCTTTTTACCTGAAGCCAACATCAAGAAAACTTGTCCAAGGCCAAAAGGCAGTCTGTGAGGTGCAACTGATAAAAGTTTAGTGGTTTGGCCATGAGAAACATATGGAGCTCCTTCCCTTTCTGTGCAGTAAGTGCTTGTGAGTCAGTGCACAGATCAGATACTCAACAGGACCTTGGGTGCGCTTTTGTCAAAAGACCTTTGAACATTTTCAATAAAGTGAGGGTCATTTCTTTGCCCTCAGCTCCACTGTGGGCAGTTTGAAACTAAGAAGATGTCTCTGTCCTTTTATAGTCCTTTTAAAGGCTTGTTCTCTTCTGATAAAGGTTAAAACTGCATCTGCTGAATGTGCAGCAGTTTCATCGCTTATCTGACCACCATCAGTGAGTGCTGCTGCTGATGATTTCGGCACACGTCACACTTCTTTTTGCATGTTTAGTTTGACATAGATAATCTGCTTAAGCTCAGTCGATTGTTTTACTCTGCTCCCTTACAGTTTGCTGTGGTTAAAATGCATATTTAAAAAGGTAAATTAGTTTTAGGCATAGTTGATTGTCACAATTGTTTTTTGGCTTTTTATTGCAGCAATGAAATGGGTCACGATAGTCAACCCAATTAGTCCAGTTTACTTAATTTTAT